CGTTCACATGATTTAAAAGGAAAATACTCAGCTTTATGGCAAGGCGTTCGAAATCAGTTTCAGATTCCAGGAGAGGTTACCTCGCTGAAGACATTGTCACAGCGGTCAATCGGGGAGCTGTGGCCAAATTAAAACATACTAACGAGGTACGCAACTGCGTGAAGAATGAATAAAATATCACATAAAATGTCAGAAAATATGGGCGGTTGAAATCCCAAGAAAATTAAAGGCGTATTAGCAAACACGACCATAGAGAAATGTGATACTTTCAAACTCTTGGTCTGGCCTTTGTTATTATGACGTTATATATGATGAAAATACATTCTGAGACAGAAGACAGAAAATTCTAATTTCACCAATGACAATTTAAATAAATGCAAGGAAAGACGTTTTGTTAAAAGTTCAGAAAATCATGACAGCTTCTAGTTTATTACGTGAAAATGAGTCTTTGAAAAAGAGAGAGAGAGAGAGAGAGAGAGAGAGATAAGTAGGCCCAAGAAGCGTAACGAGATTTCTTATAGCTAAAGCTAGACGTGAAAGAACTGGTCCCACGCACGAAATTATGTAATTAGAGAAGATTCGCAAAGTTTTAACGTAATGACAAATTTGCACAACACAGAAATAATGGAATAAGACCGACACAAAAAATGGCAAGATTCTTAAATTATTAACCCAAAAGAAAGAAAAGGAATAAAAGGAAATAAGAAATTCGACGAGGAGAAAATAAAGAAGATAAGTAGGACTTTGAGGTTTCCACGGCGGTGAGTACGAAGCTGGCTGTCTTTTGGGCTGTAGCGACGTATAGCCTAATAGAAGTTTACCGACGTTTCAGAGGTCATTGCTGCCTCCAGCATCAGGGCAATGAGTACTACACGGCACTACAAACCAGAAGACAGCCATCTTCCAACATGGAAGACGCCTAAAGCAGGAGAAACGTAGATCAAATGTTGTGATATTGCTCACATGATAATTTATCTTCCTCAAACTCAAAGTTAGTAACCTGACGTCTCGGACATGTTCGCGAAAGTACACAGATCTTATACTTCAGTAGGATTTGAGGTTTTCACGGCGGTGAATCTGAAGATGGCTTACTTCTGGGTTGTTGCGCCGTGTAGCCTGGCCATCGACCTGATGATGGAGGCAGCAAGTACCTCCCAAAACGCGGGTATGCTTCCACCAGACTACACAACGCAACAACACAGAAGCCAGCCATCTAAATACCTTATACATTATTGTTACCGGTACTAAAACAGTTCGTCATTAAGTTCAAAAATCGATATCACGACTTTGGTTAACATTAAAGCTGATCCCTCAATGCAGGAACACGGGCTACCTGCGTCTGCATGCAGCTGGAAGTCAAAGGGATTGTTCGAACACCATCAGGAAATTCAACCCACCAAACGTGTTTCAAGGAGTTGCCTAGTTCAAATAGCGGCCGAACATGTCAGGGGCACATTGAGAAATATGGAATCGCTTTGTGCGGATCTTAATTTTAAAGATGGCAGTCTTCTGGGTTGTTGCCTCGGTAGTCTGGTACAAGTTTATTGACGTTTCAGAAGTCTTTGGTGTTTCCATCATCAAGACGATTAATCAGCTAAATATCCCATAAGACATTCGCAACCGTGAGAACTTAAAATCACATTCATGCGGCATCACAACTCAGAAGATCAACGTCGACGTACAATCTGTGTTTCCATGGTAACACATAGTTTACGATGTTGAAAATTCATTGTTGTTATCTAGAATTATCAGACGTGATTTTTAATAATAAAAAAACAAATAGTATTTCAAAACTAGATATATCGTTAATAGTATTTAAATTGTTAGAGGGCAGTGTGTTTAAAAATATTCCACATGACCACCGAATAAAAAAGATCTAACTAGTTAAACGAATTTTAATTTAGCAGATTAGTTTTCTCATATTTTCCTGCTATAAAATTTACAGGAACTGTGACGGCTTATAGACTGTTCCCGAATATATCCCTGTTGTTAATATCATGAATTGAAGTGCTGATATTAGTGCTGTAAAATTAAAATAGATTTATATTAACTGCAGTGAAAATTGCCACATGTTAGTGGCAAATCAGAGTTATGCTGCTGAGTTCCGACTCTCATTAAGAGCGACCGTCACAAAAACGAGCCAGAAGCGATCGATAAAACAAAGTATGACTCCCCTCTTCCAATGTTCGGATAATGCACATTAGATTTGTTTTACGTGGATGACTCTTGACTGCCTTGAACATGAATTTTCGGTGAGGTTAGAATACGGGAATTAATTATAACTCCCAAGTACTGAGGCGAAAACAACTAACTACTTCCCACATATTTATATCGAGGAAGCTTTTATCGATAATGTGTTCGATGTTAACATTTCAGGAAAAAACTTGTTTTCCAAAAAATTGTTAGTCTGCATGACCATGGGACATTATAAAGTTCACACACTTCCTGATCAAAATTCGTAAAATATACAGCCAAATTCTTCTATATCATATGGTCTTTCTTAATGAAATACAGTCACAGAGATAAAAGCATATATAATAACGACAAATAATTGCTTCATTGTAACTGTTGTTATTGGTCAGTCAACTTTCTACGTCCAGCCCCCACCCTTGTAAATCTTCGTCTTAAAATCGATCATAAAGTCAGTTTTCTTAATAGTTTTCGTAATCGTAATATATCGAATGAGTATTATAACTTGAATGAGTAGTATTATTAGTATCAGTTTAGCATATGAGGATACTTTATTTAAAGGCTTGCGAGAGTATTACCCACGATGTTTACATCAAATTATAAGAATCATGTCGTTTCTCGATCTGCCAGTGACGCGACTTACGAGGTCGCGAAATACGCAGGTATTTACTTAAATCTCGCGAACTGTACCTCAGTCACATTTCGGGCGCTGCAGCTGTGTGAGCGAAGCTGAAGGCAATGTCCAAACCTACAGCGTTTCACCTATACGACCGTAGAACATTATGTAAGACGGGACATAAATATTTGGTCAGGTTTATTGAGCTTTTGGACTTTGTCCATCGTCCAAGGTTAACCTTGGACGATGGACAAAGTCTATACTGTATCACACCATCGTCAGAACGGTACAGAATCCAATAAATATTTGGTTCTGACAAAAAATTTGAGGGTAATTTGGTGAATTGCTTTTAATGATGAAGCGAACAATTTTCTCCTTTGTGAAGTCTGCTTCTCCGCCCTGTTCTTTCTTTTTCTTCAATAGCCTGCAGTTTCAACATGAATAATGTAATATTCCCTCTGATCAGTAAACTTCTAGTGGTCATAAAAAACACAGTGGAAAACGAGATTTGCCAAAAACAGGGCATTTTCTCCCTGAAGCCGTTCGACAACGCCAAAGCTCAGTGAAGCTCTGGACTCAGACATCGTCAGTGAAAATATAAAGAAAAAAAGGGCATTAGTCTTTCGAAGAGGGTCGTTTTATGGCGTGTGTACACGGCCATGCCTGCAGACTGTGCCGCATGTGGGATATCATTCCACAAAACGACAGACATCGTTAAATGCGCGGGAAAGTGCGGTCTTCACTATCACTCTGTGTGTACAAACTTGAGGACACAGGAAGAGTTGACAATGTTGTCCAAGAAGAAGACGCAGTGGGTTTGTAACTACTGTAGGTTTCAGTTTTCTGACACAAGGGTACAAAATGTAAATGATTCATCGCAAGCAAACAAGGATATTGAGCCCAATATATCAGATCTCGCAAGAAGTATGATGGATGAATTTGCTGACTTACGAATCCGCATAAAACTAATATCAAAAAAACTGAATAAACTTGAAACTGATATTAATAATATTAAAACGGAACATACAGATGCAAAGAGGGTGACTGAAAGCTTACGAAGGCGCAATAAAGATTCGAATAATTACATTAATAATTCCATGTCATACATGTCTGGAAGACAGGAATCAGACCAAAGTTACGTTGTAAAATCAACTGTAACACTATCGCCTGACTAAAACACCTCTAAAGTCATGAAAATCGTCGCAAAGTCTATGGAAAGATTTCTGTATCTGTTAGCTGTTCTTACATTATTTTTTGTTGCAAAATTTGTGGCCAGTGAGATGTGACGGCGGCATTGGGACACGATGCATAAACTATACGCTTGCAGAACATTGATCAAAATCGTGTGTACCTCGTAACAAAACGGTTATCAAGAAATATTCGATCTACGAGTTGTTTAATGTATCCATTAATTCGCTTTAAAGACAATAAATGGCCATCATATCACAAAGAAAATGAGTTGTGCACGCATAGTGTATAGGCTATCTGTATTACAGCAATCAATGCGTATATTTTTATTTCGTAACATAAGAAAT